GCCTGGCTATTTTTGGAGATAGAGTCTCACCCAGCTCAGGGCTGTCTCAAATTTGGTAAGCTCAGGCAAACCTTGGCCTCCCACGGTGCTGGGATTATAGGTGTGAGCCACCGCGCCAAGCCCTGGAATTTTTATAATCATACACAAAATGAATCATAGATGGTTGATTTCAGTGATATCTAAGCTCATCTAAGCTAATATTTACAACTTATTAGAGGTAAAAATTGGTGACTAAAAATTTAGTGAGCTTTCTAATTACAGCCTGAACTTTTTTTGAGACAGAGCCTCTAGCTGTGACCCTCGGTAGAGTGCTGTGGCATCACAGCTCACAGCAACCTCCAACTCCTGGGCTCAAGTGATTCTCCTGCCTCTGCCTCTGAAGTAGCTGGGACTACAGGTGCCTGCCCAAACACCTGGCTATTTTTTGGTTGCAGCCATCGCTATTGTTTGGCTGGCTGGGCTGGATTTGAACCGGCCAGCTCAGGTGTATGTGGCTGGTGCCTTAGCCACTTGAGCCACAGGCGCCGAGCCTACAGGCTGAACTTTTTTTTTTTTTTTTTTTGAGACAGAGCCTCAAGCTGTCCCCCTGGGTAGAGTGCCGTGGCATTACAGCTCACAGCAACCTCCAACTCCTGGGCTCAAGTGATTCTCCTGCCTCTGCCTCTGAAGTAGCTGGGACTGCAGGTGCCTGCCCCAACGCCTGGCTATTTTTTGGTTGCAGCCGTCATTGTTGTTTGGCGGGTCCGGGCTGGGGATTCGAACCCGCCACCTTAGGTGTACGTGGCTGGCGCCTTAGCCGGTTGAGCTATAGGCGCTGAGCCAGGGCTGAACTTATAAAGTGGGTTTCCAATCTATTAGTACCTGAGGAAGGTATCTGCATCCGTGAAGCAGGAAGGGTGGTGACTCATACACAAAGCCAACATCAAACCCAGTTCCTTTTTATCTTCAAACCCATCCCCCTCCTTCCTAGACTGACTTAATGTCTCCACTCAAAATTTGTCTGCCCTCACTCCCTGTCTTGGCCCTCTTAATCTCAAAAGCCTCTCTTTTTTTGTAATCTCAAACTACTTAACCATGCTTCTGCCAGCACTGCTTCTGGAAGAATCAAGACGAGGGTGGGAATGGGTTGCTTTGAACTACAACAGCCCAGGCCCTGCCTCAGACACCTAAATGCCTTTACTTGAGAACATACTGGAGGTTGGGGCACTGAGTATTCAAAGAGTTGTGCCTAGTCAGCACAGCCACAGCCAACACAATCCTAAATCTGCCCTGTCCCTGAGGGTGCCAGCTGTGCCCTCCTCCCCTCATCCATTTTGAGACCTACTACCAAGAAGCAGAAACAGTGGGATGGGACCATTACAAATTGAGTCTAGGCTTTTCAACATAGACCAGGTAAAGGCAAAAAGTACTGTAGATTTTTTGTTTTTTAGAGACAGCGTCACTTTGTCACCCTTGGTAGAGTGCCGGGACGTTACAGCTCACAGTAACCTCCAGCTCTTGGGCTTAGGAGATTTTCTTGCATGAGCCTCCCAAGTAGCTAGGACTACAGATGCCCGCCACAATGCCTGGCTATTTTTTGTTGCAGTTTGGCTGGGGCCAGGTTCAAACCCACTACCCTCAGTATATATGGGACCAGCACCCTACTCACTGAGCCACAGGCACCGCCTGAAAGTACTGTAGTTTTTTAAAAGCTAGGCTGAATTCATCTGCTAAGCAAACATTTCAAATCATTTATCCCATGTTAGTACAGCATACTAGCTTTGCACTGAAATATAGAAAGGGGCTCAGCACCCATTAACACAGTGGTTCTGGGGCCAGTCACATACACCCAGGCTGGTGGGTTCGAACCCAGCTGCACCAGCTAAACAATGACAACTGCAACAAAAAAATAGCCAGGTGTTGTAGCGGGGGCCTGTGGTCCCAGTACTTGGGAAGCTGGGGCAAAAGGATCGCTTGTGCCCAAGAGTTTGAGGTTGCTGTGAGCTATGACGCCTTAGCATTCTAGTGAGACTGTCTCAAAAAAAAAAAAAAATACAGAAAGGATACAAGTGGTTACACATACTATGTGCAAAAACCAGCATGCTGATCCTGCTCAGAAAATATAGATTGCTTGCCTAATACATTCCACTCTTTTAACTTCGAGTCTTTATACAAGCCATCCCAAAATTTGTACCTAAGAATCACGGTAAAGTTTGAAAAGAATGGCTTCTATCAACCTCTTTTTAGTGTAATTTGATGTTTTATTGCTGTTTTCTTTATTTGCCTACAAGGACACTTACAAAATAATTGGCACCAAAATTAATGCAAATAAAAGTCCTGCTAAATTAATGGTTTTGAATAAATTCAATATCCAATTATACAGATTTATCTGAAAACAACTTCAGTATAAAAACTAACCATACTGGTATTTGTTCTTTAGTGAAGTACCACTGCATGTGACAGTTATTTCCACTCACATACACTTACACACATGTAACAGGCCACTAGTTTAAATTTAGGCCTGAAACTGGTGATTACAAACATTGCTTGCTTTATAAACCCACAAAACCAAACTAAATTACAAGAACACTGGAAGAAAAGTATTTCAAGAGATTCTAATAGGTGAAAAATAAAGGTGGCTTAACAATAATGGGCCGCTAAATAGTATTTTACTAGATAGAACCTATTCAGGTTTTAAATTCATAAATACCTTTTCACTAAATGTATTATGATCTGCAGTATAATTCAACCAATTTTATTTACTCTTAAATTAAGACCTATTTATTATTTTTTTGAGACAAGAGTTTCACTTTATCCCCCTTGGTAGAGTGCTGTGGATTCATAGCTCACAGCAACCTCAAACTCCTGGGCACAAGCAATCCTTTTGCCCCAGCTTCCCAAGTACTGGGACTACAGGCGCCCACCACAGTACCCTGAAATTTTTAGAGATGGGGTCTGACTCTTGCTCAGGCTGGTCTCCAACTCCTGGGCTCAAGCAATCCACCTGTCTTGCCCTCCCAGAGTGCTAAGATTACAGGTGCAAGCCAGCATGCCTGGCCTATGAAGACCTGTTTTATAATATAATTATAATCTACTTCCCAGGCTGGGCATGGTGGGTCCCAGCTATATAATCACAGCACTTTGGGATGTTGAAGTGAGAGGATGGCTTCAACCCAGGAATTTTGGGACCTGTCTCTAGAAAGCAAATAACCTCTGTTAAGTCATTCCTTTGAAATTTTTAATCATTCTCATTGCTTTTTGGCCTTTAGGCTAAGATTAAGTGTAATCCAACCATTCTCTTCAGTTTTTAAGTTGCCCAGGCAGAGTATCCACTCCCAATAGCTGGAACTATAGCGATGTATCACTGAGCCTGGCACCAGTGTGTCACCTCTTAACACTACTGGTGCTTGACAGTTCCCTTGTTAATTTTCTCTAAATGGATTTTCAAACAGCTGTATCTAATATTGAAATACGCTAATTTCTCTATAACTACACATATAAAAGCAGTGCCAAAAAAAACGTTATGAGCTGTATACACAAAACAGCACACCTATTACTATTTCTCAGATTTTGTGATGACTTAGTTATCATACCCTTGTGGCACTGCTTATCACGTCAATAGTACTTCTAAGGATTTGTCCCTAACATCACTTTTATATATCCAGAACACTGTCTTTCCTCCTCCCATGTGAACCAAATGATACCAGAAGACCTAACACTTTTTTTCTTGAGGTGAGTAATACCTTTCTTATCTAGTCCACCTTAGAGAATCATATACCCTCTTCACATCTTTTTCCTTTTCATGCCTAAATGTTGTAATTACTCAAAAACACTTTTTGTTTTTTGTTATTTTGAGCTAAACCTTAGCTCAAGTAAAACCCATATTGGGACAGCATATTTCATAATTCCTCAATTGGAAATATACTCTATTAAGAATAAAGTACTTTTTAAAATGAAAATACAAAAACATCATATTTAAGCAAGCTTTAGAATCCAAAACCTCCCATCTATTTCAGTATCAACTATGCTTGTTTTGGTTCAAATATAATTCAAGATCAATGTAAATGTAGTAAACCAAACATTTTCTTTCACTGAAAATATATAGTATGGTGTGTAAATGTACAGTTAAGTACACTGTTAAAAACATTTTTTATGTGTGAAGAGACAGAGTCTCAGCTTGGCGCCTGTGGCTCAAGTGGCTAAGGCGCCAACCACATACACCAAAAAAAAAAAAAAAATAGCCGGGCGTTGTGATGGGTGCCTGTGGGCCCAGCTACTTGAGAGGCTGAGGTAGGAGACTGGTCTGAGCCCGGGAGTTGGAGGTTGCTGTGAGCTGTGATGCAATAGCACTCTACCCAGGGGGTTAGTTTGAGGCTCTGTCTGAAAAAAAAAAGTCTCATTTTATCACCCTCCATAGAGTGCCTTAGTGTCATAGCTCACAGCAACCTCTAGCTCTTGGGCTTAGGTGATTCTCTTGCCTCAGCCTCGTGAGTAGCTGGGACTACAGGTGCCCACCACAATGCCTGGCTATTTTTTGTTGCAGTTTGGCCAGGGCCGGGTTTGAATCCGCCACCCTGGGTATATGGGGCCGGCGGCCTACTCACTGACTGAGCCACAGGCGCTGTCCCACATATAAAAATATTTTAAATTACAAACCATTTCCTTTTAATAAAAAATAAAAAAATTTCCTTTTATCCAAAACCATCCCCATTTGTGAGATGGGGAATTCCTCCTCCTAAAAGTGTGATGTTAGATCTTCTAAATCTCAGAAAGAGGACAATTATAGCAAAGTCAGAAACATTCTTCCACTAAAATGGAACATTAAAATCTCATCACATGAAATCACAGACATCTCCAAGTCACACATTCAGACATGAAGAACAGTTACACATAAAGAGCCAAGACTAGTTTAAAAGGGGAGGGCCAAATTATTATTATTTTAAAATTTGATTACAATCAATTTTGTTGGCATTAAAATTAGAGGCATTTTAAATTTGAATGGACATATACCAAAAACCAGAAATTAAGTTTGGTAAAATGGGAACAGGAATTTTCCAGTAATTACAGTTTAGAAGGCAGAAATCAATTTAGAGAAACAAACCCCATGTTTACAATGATTGTGCCACAGATTTAAACTTCAGTAGTGCATCAGTAAACTGTTCACATTTAGATCTTAACCTTGAGATTTGACAGCTGTTTCTTGAAAAAAAATCTCAGTACTTTGTGCAAATATATCAGTCTTCCATGTGCTTTAGCACACTTAAAATTTCTCCATTGTCTATATACAAAACTCCTGCCATGTGGGCAGGGCAAAATACATACTTTCATAACAAAACTATAATGTACCTCTCAAGTATGAACAATATACACATAATACATGGTATACAGTATTTACAAAATATAAAATATAATACAAGCTGTTTGTATTTAATTTTTAAAACTCAGTATCTTTTGCACTTGTATGTTGCAACAAGGCAAAATTCCATCTGTTACCAATTTCTTTTAAGGAATCCAGGGATTTGGGAAAACCTGCTTTACATACATAGTGAAACCTCATATCTAAGTTTGAACTTTTAGGAGCGTTTTTAAGTGTACTGCCATCAGCTCCCTGTTTTGGTTGGAATTTTCAACAGTGCTTCCCATCCAGTGACTAGGCGGCTTTGGAAGAACACTAGGAGAAGGTGGATCACTAAACTTAGCCCCAGCATAATTTTCCTTTTGACTTACTTCAGTTAGAAATGCTGATTTCTTCAAATGCTTATTTTTAATGTTCTCAGTATTTTTAAAAGGCTTTTTTTCCTGCTTCTGAATTCTATCAGGTGAAACAGAATCCTGCCAAAAGTTATTTTCACTTCTTTTTGCAGAGGTGATCTTGGTTAGTGGCAAGTTGTATTTGCTTTTCTGTCTGTTTATCTTTGGTTGTTCATACAAGTGTATACCATGAACAAGCTGGCCATGGGGAAGGGCAATTTTCTCCGATTTTCCCATCTTTGTTTTTAAAACCTACAAAGACAAGGAACACAAAAGTAAATACATAGTTTCCAGATAACAATCAGTTATGAACCTCACCATCATGTATTTCGTATAATTATTTAAATGTTTCCCTAGACTTTAGCTCAATCTCTTAAGTACTATGTTTGCTGCACTTACCACTGGGTCATTGGGATGTCCAAGAATACATACCTCTTGTTTGCCAATTAAAACACACCACTGTTGCTGGCAACTTATAAGCCAGGCCTAAATGCTAAACTAAAAAATCCTAACAGAAGTGGACCTTACCGAAGTCTCGAATGGGTGGAAAAGTATAAGGTAATCCAGATCACTGCCCTTCCAACATGTTTGTTAGGTAAACAGGAAACAAAAATAGAAGTCGGAACTCAGGGTAACTCATTCCAACAGCACTGCCTGGTTTGAATACCCATTCTAAAAAAGGAATTCTCACAGCCAGGAAACAAAAGCTCAATTTTATGTTATTACTACTATTTCAAGAGTCACAGACCTAAGAAGATAACTTAAGGAAACACCGCAGGCAAATTTACCAATTTTCCTCCAAGTGCAGAGCTATATAAATTCAAATCTCTATTTCACCTTTCAATCAAAGGCAGTGACTTATTTTCACTGCCTTTCATTAGGAAAAAACTTACTGCAGTTAAGTCAATGAAACTTTATTGACAAGATTACTCAAAGTCAACATTTTCCCCTTTCTTGAATGATCAGAATCTCAACTTCCCATTTTGGAGGAATGCCTGCCTCACTGTGTCTTAAGTGGGAAGTAAGGCCCTCATTCTCCCTTTGATGCTGAAGACAGCCCTCAATGGAACCTTAAACTCTGGGGACAGTGATGAAAAGAGGAAGGGACAGATTTAAAAGAGCTTTACAGTATCTTGTGAATTGTGTAGCAATAGGATTGGTATATGGTCTTGATTTTATGTAGTAATAACTGTTTCAGCAGCATAGATGGCCTCCGTACCAAAAGGAGCACTCTTATAAAACCAGTTATTTGGCTTGAATTTGGTTGTGATTTTCATTGTGTTCATTGCCTGGACTTCTTTGGCTCCTATTCATTTTCCCAAGCTTGTTTCTCCTGATTTCAATTTATGAACGACCAAATAATTATCTGGATTGTTCCGGGCCAAGAGCCCTGAATATTAATGTCACGTTGTTTAAAATAAATATAGATAATTTCAAATTAAAAAAAAAAAAGATCTAAGGTCGGCACCCGTAGTACAGTGGTTGACGGGTTCGAATCCAGCCGGGGCCTGCCAGACCACCACAACTCCAACGAAACAGCCGAGCGTCGTGGCGGGCGCCTGTAGTCCCAGCCACTCGGGAGGCTGATGCAAGGTAATCGCTGAAGCCCAAGAGTTTGAGGTTGCTGTGAGCTATGACGATACAGCACTCTACCAGGGGTGACATAGTGAGACTCTGTCTCAGAAACTCTTAAGAAAAAATGATAATGCTATTATTTTCTTTTTGAGGCAGATTTGCACTATGCCGCCCTCGTTTTAGAATTTTAATCCATTTTACCCTAGTCCAACACAGTTGCAACTGGGCAGCTAAGTCAATTCAACCGGTAACTTCCGGCAAAAACCGGACCAAGTAACAAACCAGCCACATCAGGAAAACCCGGTCCGCAGTTCCGGCGCGCTCCGCCATAAAGTGGGTCAGGCCGCCCGGGGCGGCCCACACCCGGCGCCTCACATTCCGGCAAAAATCCAACCTAACGTAATCGAGCTCCCCGCAGCCCACTCCAACCCCCACATCAGAGCGTCGGACGCCGTCTAGGCGCTTCACCGACTGGCTTGGCGCTGCCGCGGGAAGGGAAGCCGAAAACAGCGCCCCCACTTGCATGTCCGCCACCCTCGCCCGCCTGCCTCCTTCATGAGCGCAGGAGCGCTCAGCACGTAGCGCGCGCTGACGTCAGCCCTCCCGCAGGCCCGGGCCCTCACCCCACCCCGCCCCGC